AAATCCAAATGAAATACAATAGAAGGGGAAATAATATAAGGTGAGCGGTATCGATTGATGATTGCTACTATGAAAAACAGGAAGTTCCTCTTCGTACTGTATTGTATAAATGTGATGTACGTCTAATTTTTTTGTGTGTGTGTTTTACATGCTTGTTAATAAAAATCTTTTTAAAAAAAAAGAAAGAAAAAAAAGATAAGAATCATGTTCTAAGACAGGGCTGTCAAACTCCCTGCCCCCGGACTGGATGTATCACACGCTGGCCATGCCCATGCCCATCTTAGTAAAGGGGGGGGGAGTCCCGATACGTCATATGACGACGTCAGTTTGACACCCTGTTCTATGACATAATCTGAAAGGTGTTGAAGCAAAAGGAAGGAATATGAAATTTTATTTATGTGATCAAAGTTAAAATGGATGTTACCTCTGGCAGCCATTAATGGACTTTTGCTAACCTCAAGGCCAAAATGATGAGATTTTGTAAATTTGTTTATAAAGAAGATATGGGCTATTGAGAAGAGATCATTGATCATTGATATTGAAGGGAATTGAGAAGAGATGGTGGTAGTGTAAGAAAAGGTGATAAGTTTCTAAAATTGTTTATACTTATCTTGAAATAGGAAAGTCACTTCTTTATGTAGTTCGTATTGTATTTTTAATTTTTGTTTTTTATATTTTTAATCGTTTTTTGCATCTTCAATTTTCTCTCTTTTTTTCTTTTGTATTAGTTTCTACTGTTGTAAATTGTAATCTTTAATAACAATTAAAAAGAGTACTTTTCTGGATGCAAAGAATGAATATAGACATCCTATAGAACCCACAGTGATATCCCCAAAACATTATAAAAATGAGAATAATGTAATTGGCATAAGTCACATCATAATGTTTCGATGCGAAGGTTATACAGTGTGTAGTTGGGGTCAATGAGTGCTGCATGATGTCAGGTATCATATTCCCCCCATCCCATGACTAAATGGGTATGTTGCAAATGAGGTATTTATGTGCAGAACCTTCCCTATAAATCAATCAATCAAAGCACGTGGAGGTAAATAGACCAGAGATAAGCAAACCAGAGCTTTCCATTGATCAGGCTGTTGGAAGTCAGTCCAAAGCGTTTCATATCCACCTACCTTAATTTTAGCAATCTGCCCAACCACGCTGCCCACAGCACCAGCTGCTGAATTAACTAGGACAGTTTCTCCTGGTTTGGGCCTGCAGAGTTCAAGTAGGCCAAAATAGGCAGTAAGACTGCAAGGAAAAGGAATTAAAAGTTTGTGCAATTAAACATTGACACCATGATATGTCCAAAACATAAAAATCAAATAGGACTCAAATACGAACATTCACCACTAATGGGAATAACCTGATTACGTGCAATGAATGTGTTTAAAAGCACCACAGAATAAGGTGACATTCCTCAACTTTGAGGGCTAGTAAACACAATGGGAATTTTGAAATAATACCAATAGTCCTCAACTTACAACAGTTCATTTAGTGACTGTTCAGAGCAGAGGTGGTTTGCTGCCGATTCGGTATGGTTCGGCTGAACCGGTAGTGGTGATAGCAGTAGACTTAGCAGTAGACTTATATACCGCTTCATAGGCCTTTCAGGCCTCTCTAAGCGGTTTTACAGAGAGTCAGCATATTGCCCCCAA